TCTGAAAAATTCCCCGCTTTCACGACTCAGAGAAGCACAAGAATTGATTCGAGAAGAGTCCAATACTCCACTCTAAAATTCTCGCCGAAATTCCCCTAAAAAACCAGCGGAGTAACAAAATTTCTCTCGCGAAACGCGATTTTCATAGAAAAATTCCACGCTTTCACGGCGCGTAGTGGCGTGTCGAGTAGCGCGCGCACCTAACCGCGCGGGCCTAACCAAGAAGATCCATGCAGGGCCCCTGTGTGCACTCCGGGAGCGTGCAGGCGGCCTCTGGTCGCGTCTGGAATGGAGCTGGAAAGCAAGAGAAGCTGGCTGCGGGGGAAGTGGACGAAGGCAGTCGGTGTGTGTTGATGCAAGTGCGGTGACTGTACGTGCTGACTGGCGGAGTCAGTCAGTCAGTCAGTCAGTCGGCTCGGCACCGGCCGTACGGGCACACGATCGCGTCGATTTTTCTTCCATTCCCCTCTTTACGTTACACGCACACGTTGCACGGTAGACACTGTTCCTTTTCTACTGTTTCTGTGGCGCGCGCCATACGCTCACGACCTGTTTTCTTCCTCGGCCCAGTTTTTCCGCAGACTCGATTTTTCCTTCGTGTTCAAATCGGCCACTGTGGGCCCTGGTGTCACAAGGATTACAACGTCGCTTGCCCAATACTCCCAAACGAGAGTGTCGACATCTTCAAACATTCAACCAGGTAAGCTGTGTGATTCTATCCTTTTTCTTCCTTTTCTTTTATCAATTACAATAGATTTGCAAGATTTTAAACGTTGGAAAGATGGTCAGATGTTCGAGATACGTGTGTAAATTTCGGTCGAGGTTGCAGAAGTGATAGTAGGTTGTGCAAAGAAGTAAAGGAGAAGAGAGAGAAACGGGCACGTTGACGCGAGCGTCCCAAGCTCGAGAGAGGACTGGCTGAATTATTTTCGTGTCCCGTTAGGCGTCAACGATCGATGGATCGATAGTAGCCGGCCGTAAAATTCGCCGGTGCCCGCTGGACAAATCCTCTGCCTGGCAAATCCGCGTGACATCACACTAGCCGACCACCGTTGGGAAAAGTCGACTGGTTCTGTGCCGATCGGATCGCGAGTGAACGCGATAACGCGCGAAACTGCGAGCCGAGTGGATAAAAACCGACGAATTTCCCCCGTTTATTTTCCACCCTTTCGTTTGTTTTAGTTAATTGCTTCCTCCTCCACGTTCCTCTTTTTTTTCCCCCTCCATAAAAGATCGTTTAAATCGCTTTCGATCGTACTTACGATCCTCCGCGTCCAATTAACCTCTCGAACTCCGGGCAGATCAACGAAATCTCTGTCGTCGGAGAAATCTTATCTGTCGTAAAATACCTCTACCTTTTTCCCCATTAATTACATTCTCTCTCTGGTACATACGTTGGTTCTTCAAAAAAAAAAGTCGCCTTTCGCGGTAATAGAACACGTTCCTCGACTTTGTACCGCGCGATTAAACCCAAGGGTACACAGAGAGAGATTCTGCGCGAACTCCGCGTTGGCATGTGTCATTTCCTCTTCCTCCAGTCGGCTAACGACGCTATAGGAACGTCGATCGTACGCAAACAGGAGATAATGCTCGCGGCGGCGGCGGCCCGCTCGATTTCCAAGTGTCGTTCCTCGTTCGAGAGGATCCACGGCCGATAATCGCGATACACGGGCCCCAAAGTGGCCCGTCCGCTCCTTTGTGTACACGCTTGCTCCGATACAATCGGAGGCTTGTGAGGCCGGTCCGTGTGGAATCGATGCAATTAACGGGACAAAGGGAACACCGTACGCGAGGCGGCGGCCGCGTTATCGCTCGAAACAGCATTTTTTTCTCTCTCTCTCTCTTGCTGTGGTATGCGGTTACGTGTAGTGTATGAGAGAAGGTTTGGGGAACGTTCGACGACGACGACGACGACGACGGAGGCGTGTCGCTGGAGCGTGCGACTCAGACGCGTGATCCTCGGTGACTCGTTGGTTTCGAGTTATTTTTAGACGATCGAACCGGCGTCGTGACGTCGCGCGCGCGAGACCCTCCGACGCGACGCGTCGATCCCTGCTAATGATCCGGAGAGATCTCCGTTCTGATCGATCGAGACGTGTCGGAGATGCTTTTTTTTCCTTTCCTTGGGGGGATTTAGTGGGATGAATGGTTTGCGTGATAAGGTGTTGTGTGTGATTTACTTTGCGATAAGGATGAATAGTTGTTCGGAGGTTGATGTTTTAGAATGGAGGAGTTTGTTGAGGTTTCTTTGATAGTTGAGCGAAGAGTGGTTCTCAATGAGAATAGTTAAATGGTTCGATGACTAAGAGAGATCTAAGTCATCTGTTGGGAGAAAATATAATCAGTTCGAAGTCCAGGCTGCGTGTGTCGTGATAGTGAAATCATTTGTTATGCTGTCGGGAAGGAGTTTCTTGTGTTAAATGGAGAAATGTTGGTTTTTTCTTTGGACGTAGAGGGAGAGTAGCGATGATAAAATTATACTGAGGGATGCTGCGGAGTGTTCGCTTCGGTTTCGTGAATAATGATGATACTGACGTGATGTTTCCTAGGATTTATCTTTCTGCGCTATTCAAATTGAAGTATTCGAATGCTAAATTGAAATTCAGCCAAATTCAAGTTATCCGGATTTGCCAATGAAATTCACACTGTTCGAGTTTGAATTTCAGCCAATCAAATTAAAACTATTCGAATTTGAAATTCAGCCAGTGAAATTTAAATTATTCAAAATTGTAATTCAGCCAATGACGTTAAAGTAAGCACCGTTTCAATTCGACCAATCAAATTCAAATTATTCGAGTTTGAAAATTAACCAATGAAATTAGAAATATGGAAAATATGAATTCAGCCAATGCCATTAAAGTAAGCACCGTTCAATTCGACCAATGAAATTCAAACTATTCGAATTTGAAATTCAGCCAATGAAATTCGAAACACTGAAAATTTGAACTCGGCCAATAAAATTCAAACTATTCGAGTTTGAAATTCAAACTCTTCAAATTTCAATATTAAATTCCAACATTCAAATTCCTCCAGTTAACTTCAAACAATTCCAATTCGAAAATTCCACCAACTAATCAAATATTTCAAGTGTACAGAACAGTAAATACTTACTCTATGTACCAACCA